CTTAGAGAGAGTCATTTTGTTTTCTTCAGGTTAATGGCAGTGTTAACAAGGAGGATGTGTTTACCCAAATTGACAGTGCGCTCACCCAACTACTTGATAAAAGGCAGGCTACTTCAGAATCTCTGGCAGCATAAGTGTATAGAATGGTTTAGGCTCCCATTTTTACAAGTGTTCTAGAAAAGTTGAGTCAATAATTTGTGCACGATTTGATTGTTTGGCTGCGATTGCAACCTACTGCGGAGGAGAAGAGAACTTGTGCATGTCCTGGTCTGCCAAAAAGGAAAAATAGTTACATCCGTGCTGTGTCATTTACTTGCAGTGCATACAGATTAGCTTAAACTGCCCTTCTCAGTATGGGTATGGGATTACAATTGTATTTATTTATTTATAATGGCAAATTAGAAAATATTGTGCATTGAATTTTGTAGTAGTATATGCTTACTCGATTTGTTGCAAGGACCAGCTCACGTGTGTCTTTCGACTTAGGCTTGTAAGCATATATTCTTATTTTGTTTTGAGCATTAGGCTGATGCTGCAATTGTAGCCCCCATCTACCATGTTAGCGCCGGTGACCCCAAGGGTCATGGTGGCACCGGCCCCTTCTGGGGGGTGCTCACTGCATGAGGTCAAAAAATGTAAATTTGAGTTCCTATCTTGGGAAGAAAGAGAGTAAAGTTTGCTAAGTTTTATGGCCTGGGTTTTTTAATTGAATTATGGGAAAACCATCATGAGAGTTGGTCAGGGTGACAGACTCATGATTCTAGAATAACGAACTTCAGCTACACGTGTTCTAAAGAATGGAAACATGGGATCAACCTCGGGTCACGTGGCTTTGCTCGCCAGGAAAATTGTCAGGAGACCATATTATTGTATCTGAATGTGTATCACATCTTTAATAGAAGTGTAACCTACTTTGTGTTGAAATATCTTACTTTTCCGAGACGTGATGCACAATATAGTACAATAATAGGTTTTTTTTAGTATTTCTTTAGGTATTATAAAGATATTGTTGTAATGGATGGTGTCTTCATGTATTATAAAATATAAAAATATGGGTCTTTTTTTTTTTCAATTTATTATTATTATTATTACATATTTCTTGCTGACAGCATATTTGGTGCTTTATTGACTTCGCAATCTAAAGACTTCCTCCAATTGAACTTTTGTTCTTGAAGGAGAAAAAAAATATTCAAAGCTAAAAAAGATTTGAATGAAACCAAGACCAAGTTGAAGAAAAGAAAAATTGGTTTGGCCGAAGAAAGAAGAGAATATTATAAGTTGAAATTTACATGTACACTTTTTGTGTGGGGTATATCCAGATTTTGCCTTGACTAATGAGCAAAAAAAATCAATATATGCATTACAAAGAATTTAAAAAAAATTGACCATTTCATATGGCATGGAAGCTACGTGGAAGACTGAGTCGTGGAAGGTGAGCGAGAAACGCTTGCCAAGCAAAAACTCAACGCTCTTTCCAAGCTACTCACTATGTCAGTCATGGATGGCCTGTCCCTACCTTCCAAACTTACACAATCCGCCGCCAAGTACCCAACGTATGCCACGGCCTCGATCTCAAACGGGTTCGGGTCGGGCATTTTCGGGTCCAATATCCGATGGATCTCATCGTTCACAATGTACGGCACCACAAAATCCACAACGTTTCTTGGCACCCCGTTTTCATTCTTGTGAATTGCGTTGTAACCCGACAACAGCTCTAGCAACACCACTCCAAAGCTGTACACGTCACTCTTCGTCGTCAGCTGTTGCAGCCGGTAGTACTCTGGGTCCATGTACCCGAATGTACCGGCTGCCCGGAGTGAGAGGTACGACTGGTTGTCCTCCGGGCCCATCAAGGATAGCCCGAAGTCCGACACCTTGGCGCGCAATGTGTCGTCCAGTAATATGTTGGACGACTTGATGTCACGGTGTATGACTGGTGGGACTGCGTACATGTGGAGGTACTCAACGCCTCGGGCTGCGTCGAGTGCCACGTTGATGCGCGCGGCCCATGAGACTAGAGGGGAGTGTGGGAGATTGTGGAGATGGTCGTGGAGAGTGGCGTTGTTCATGTACTCGTACACCAAAATACGCTCTTTTGTGTCTTCGAAAAAGCCGAGCAAGCGGACTAAGTTCTTGTGGTTGAGGCGGGAGAGGGATTCGAGCTCGTTGACGAAAGCGTTGTCTTTGTCCTCCTGGCGCCTTGTGTGTCCACCGACGTAGGAGGAGGCTGAGGTCTCGGCGCGCTTGATGGCCACTTGGCGGCCGTCAGTTAATCTGGCGTAGTAGACTGAGCCATAGCTGCCTGTTCCGATTTTGTGTTCTTCGGAGAAGTTGGAAGTGGCTTCTAGAAGTTCTTCCAATGAAAATTCCTCCAAAGAAGCCCCATTGGCACCCATGCTCACCACATGGCTCAGCCGCTTCTCCAACACCGGCTGCCCTGCCACTACAGCTGCGGCAGCAGTGCCTTGATTACTATGATGACCTTGTAACTGGGTCACCTCCAAGGGGCCCGAGTCATGAATGCGGCTTCCTCTAATTTTGCAAAACTTGAACACCAAGAAACAACATACCAAAACGAAAGCTAAGGAGCCGACACACCCCACTACAAAAAAAGCCACCATTTTCTTGCTCCATTTACTCCCTGATGATGATGAGGGCTTCCCGATCTCTGGTGCCGGTGACGGTGCCAATGGTAGTTGATCAGGCAGCTCTGTCCCATCACCGGGTTGGCATACATATCCTTGTTCACAAAATCTACCGTAGCCTGGTAATGCATTGCTCCATGATGGGCACTCCTTTGTACACGGCCCTGGCTTCACGTCACCCTCGAACACCATGAAATTGTTTGAGGCATCAAAAATTGGGTTGCCCCAGCAATACAAGGAAAAATTAGATGACAGAACTCCGCAGAAGACACTTCGTTTTGCTTCAATTGTTACGAAATAAGTATCTTGCAGAGCCACAGGCAAGCTGAAGTTATTTTCACCCCAGCAAACAACTGTTCCATTAGTCCTCCTGAGAGCACAACTGCGGTTCTCTCCCAAGGCCAGAGATGTGAATTTCTCTTGTGGTTTCTCACCCTTCATATCTCCCCAACAATGCAAACAACCATTCTCCGATGAGATGGCACAAGCATGATTGAACCCTGCACTTACAGCACTGCAATTCCAGCTAGGCTCCTTTCCAACCACTTTACCATTGCTTCCTAAGCAAATAACTTTCCCAATTTTTGATACCCCGCATACAAAATTCTCTCCCACGGCGATGCTTGAGAAGTCATAGCTGTGTCGATTCGGGATTGAATTGAATCTGCGCCATTGCCAGCATTCGACGCGGCTAGTACTCCCGTCAACAAGGCCGCATACATGGGAATTTCCAGCAACAAGTTGCTTGAGAGCCGAACCGCGGTAGATACGCTTGGGGCCGCGCATGTTAGTACCATTGGCAGAGAACCTCCAGCAAATCAAAATTGAAGTATTGGGGGAAGAAGACGGGGACATCAACGAGCATAAAAACCCATCTCCAGCAACTATACCAGTGAAGGAAGAAGAAGCCTTCTTGTCGACAGGAATTCGAATTCCACTAGGAAAACTAGTACAATTGAGAAAGGAAGACTGGTTGTTGGGATGTATGAGCGCACAGACTAATGTTTGATTTGAAGTCTCAGAGATTGATAGAGTGGAGAGTGAATAAAAGCAACATGGAAAGAATGAAACCAAGGAAAAGCTGAGGATCAGAAAGATGCTATTGTACCAAAAGGCAGCCATAGAGAAATTTTGTCAAATAATTGGTGGGTGCAGAAAATTTCATGGTGGAGAGGAAGAGAGAGATGGGGAAGAAATGAGAGATGGAGTTTTTGAACAATGGTGGTTTTTTGGGACCAATTTAAACGTGCTGAAGGTGGCCAAAGAAAAAGACCAGATTACACGCTTTGGGAGTCTTTAACTTTGATAGAGTTTTTGAAGACCAAAGACCAAGTCCTTTGAAAATAAAGGTGGAGAGAGAGAGAGAGAGAGCGTGTGCGTGTGGGTCAAAGACTCGGACAAACTAATTGACCTCTCTTGTACTGTTTACTGAGTTACAAGTTATGTATTTATATAATCTTACTTACTAGCTTACTACTCCAAGCAGGAAAGTAAATCTAATAGCACCAACGAACTGAACTTGAAAATGGATCGTGATTTTGTGGGCTTGTGTTGTCTCACGTTGTATGAAAAATTAGCTCAGTGAGGGATTATAACTTTAGTGATTAAGAGTATTTACTCTCTACACCCAATGTTCTATGTTTGATTTTCCCTTCCTCAATATCGCTAAATGAAAAAAAACATAAAAAAATTGCTCAACTCAAACATGACCGGTTGAGCTAAAAAGTGAAAGAATCAAAACGTGGACATCACCCCCAAAAAGTACGGATCATATCTCTTCTAAAAATGAAATTTTATCTTCTTTTTATAATAATCCGATATTATTTTGTAGGTCATAACAAAATAATATTAAATTAACTAGCTCCCTTTCTTACACAATAAATTCATACGTCAATTAAACGTATTGTATCTTTGAAAGCACCACCAGGTCCTAATGGAGTTCATGTTATTTTCTTTTAACAAAACGTTGGCGTATTGTCAAGAAAATATTTATGTAGTCAATGCTTTTTACAATGAAAAATCTCTTCAAAAATTAAATAATACTTGTCCCAACGACTAACCTCGCAGAAAATTGGACACGAATTACTATCGAATCTTCCAAAGAAATTAGATATGGAGAAAGGTCATGATATGACGACTCACATCCAATTATAATATCCCAAACACTTATAAAAAGTAGTTTCAAATTATATAATTGTCGAAAATATGAAAAATTCTATTAGTAGGTCTTTGACCGGAAGATATGAAAAATTACGTTCTTGAGCCGAATAATAGTTTACAACTTGACTAAATTTTAGAAGACTGCAAAGTGCAAACCTTACTAAACTAAAGGTTTCAATCAAATTGAAAGGTCTACCACCTCCACCATGCAGATGCAGTTCAAGAATTCGAATATGTACCTCATTGCATATTTGAACCCCCAAGGTACGCATAAAGCACAAAATGGCTGGGATGAGATGGAAGAAGAGAATGACTAGAGTTACAAACATAAGCAGTAATGAATCAATGTAGTTCCATTCCATTACGGCATGTAGAAGCCTCCTTTTGTTTTTTTTCCTCAGTAAGTATTTCTGCTTACCTGCAATAATATCAGAATGGTGCATCAGGCAGTTTTAAGAATTATCAACAGAAGCACTCAATAATATCAAAACGACATGAGAGCTGAAGATGGTGAAGATTTCATGAAAGCACTCAATTACTAATATTTATCAATTATAATTGTTCATCACTGTCATCACCGCCAATAGCTTCACATCATTCAGAAGTACAGTTAATTATGCAGGACTGGGGCATGGGCAAATTTCCTCTTCTTAGAGGTAGAAGGATCTTGGTGCTGCCTCTGAACAATTACAGCATTGCCATCAAGAAGTTGGAGATTCCCCTAACAAATAATTGCATTAAAGTCACACCGAACATCATGAATTTTTTAACTGGTTCACCTCTCTTTTTCTCCATATCATACCAAGAAATCTTGTCAAAGCTGTCAGGAGGTTCAAAATAGTTATTCTTCAAAACGACCATTTGACCACTCTTTGAAAACCTCAAAGGTGTGCAAACAGCAAATGTCCAACGAACATCGCTCTCGTTAATAGAAAAAAGCATCGCCCAAGATTTTGTCACTCCATATTCCTTCATAGCCCAAACATGACTTCCGGCCTTATTATTAACAATAAAACATAAGCAGCCTCCCAAGACAGTCAAACCCGGCAGAGGAAAAGCATGCATAACGTCCTCCGGGGTGGGAAATTCGTGATATAAGGGTTAGAATTATGAATTTGTTACCCAAATCAGGATTGGTAAGCCAATGTAGAGCACTGTTCAAACAGTGAATATAAGAACCAAAATAACGATGATTGGAAGGTAAGTTCTGGATCCTTTTCCATGAGTTGGATTTTAGGCTATAAACCTTCACTTCAGAAGAACAAAAACCATTAGAAGTACGAAACTCCATAATACTAACAACTTTGTAGTCATCAGTAGCAGAATCATACCCGAACCCAAACCTGGCAACTTCACTTTCCATTATCTCAGAGGGTGAGAATGAGATTCTCTTGAACCTTTGAATGGAGGGATTCCATAAAGCAACATCTTTTTTGTTGTTGTTTGCAATGCATAGTAAACCATGACAGTAACCCGCTCTATCAGTACAACTGCGACGGTGTCTCAAGGGCAGCTCAAGTTTGATGGCTCTCTTGGCGATGCTATCGTTGTCGTAAAATGGGAATGAGAAGAAATTTGTGCGCCAATTGTTTGAATGAATTAAAAGGGAGCGAAAAGAGCTGGTTTGGATGGAGCGTTGGTGATGGGCATCGATGAAGCGTCGGCCATGGATGATGGCATTCCAAGCTTCGCAAACACACATGAATCACATCAAATCCTTGGGCGTAAGCCGTAAATGAATGTCGAACACAAGCTCCGGTGGGATGTATGGGGTGGTTGTTGAAAGCTTGGGTTTAGGGTTAGAATTTGGGGCCATTTCAATTTGTGTTCAACACTCAACCTACTCTCAGAGTCAACAGAAAAATCTAATTTCTTGACAGCTCTCCTCCTATAACAAGAACCCTAACAATCAAATTATATTATATTTTATTTATAAATAAAGAAGAAAAGAAATTAAGCACAATAACAAACCTTAATGCTTCCGATTATGCCTCTGGCGCCTGTGTCTGCGAGTATCCGATCAGAGAGAAACGAACAGGATGATGAACAAAATGAAGAAGAAGATGAACGAAAAGAAAAACCTTTTCTGGAATTTCTTCACAACTGTTACAATTTCTGGAGTTAGACTTAACTAAACAGAATTAGTAACTAAAACTAACCTAGCTGCCTGCCTACTCTACTCCCCTCTTCCACTGTATTATGTGTTTGGCAGCCAAGAAAAGGAAAGAAAATAGACCATTTTGACTTTTTTTTTTTTTTAAAAAAAAAACAGACAAGAGTATAGCCGTGTGGCTATACTATTTATTAAAAGAAATTAAAAAGGACCCGGGTATTGCCGGCCGGCTATACTAGAAATTAAAAAAGGACCCTCGTATAGCCGCCCGGCTATACTCGCTAAATATATTATATTACAATTTATAGCCGAGCGGCTATACTATTTATTAAAAGAAATTTTAAAAAACCCGTGTATAGCCGCGCGGCTATACTATTAGTTAAAAGAAATTATAAAACCCGAGTATAGCCGACCGGCTATAATCTTTAAATATATTATATTTACGAAGTCTAGCCGAACGGCTATACTATTTATTTTTAAAAAAATTCAAACAGGCCCGGAGTATTGCCGCGCGGCTATACTATTAACTAAAAGAAATTAAACAAGGATCCGTCTATACTCTTTTAATATTAAAGTATAGCCGAGCGGCTATACGATTGATTAAGAGAAATTAAAAAGGCCCCGTGTATAGCCGAACGGCTATACTGTTTAAATATCAAAGTATAGCCGTGCGGCTATACGATTTATTAAAAGAAGAAATTATAGTATAGCCGCGCGTTATAATACCACTTATCAGTCCGCCATTTGCATGTCTCCTTCCCAGGCGGTTTATGGGCAGGAACCTCCCACTATTCTCACATACATAGCTGGTTCGACTGCTGTAGCTGATGTTGATTCCGGCCTCCGAGACCGATATGCTCTACTTAAGCAACTCCGTGTACAAGCTGCGCAAGATCGTATGCGTGTGTATGCTAATAAGAACCGGACATACCAACTGTGATGGTCATTCAGAATCTGAATGTCGCAAGAAACATCTTCAACTTGTACAACTTTATCATCATTTTGATTCTCTTGATTTCTGTGACAAATAATTCAGAATCTTCTGGATGATGTTTTGCTTGTACTCACATTTCATTTTAATTTACTTTTTCTCCACAAATTTGGTTAATTCAAGCGTCTATTTCCATTGCATAGTGATCTTACATTTAACAGTACATTGAATAAGCATTTTATTTTAAATTCTTCACTTACACACATCGCAAGCCTTGTAAAGAAATTAACGCTTGTATGAAACTTTTTAACCTTGAAATAGCTACTGCTAAATAAGTAACTCATGACTGGAGAATTCCTTCCCATTTTTGTCAGAGTTGCTCTTTGGAGACCTGAAAGTGCTGGGATCAGCATCAGTAAGCATCTTGATAACGTCCCGCATCGTAGGGCGCAAGGATGGTAGCTTGGTAGTACAAAGAACAGCAACCTTCAAAACCTTGATCATGTCATCCTGGACAGATTCATATGCCACTTTATCATCTAGAATTTTAACAACATTTTCACGGTCACTGAGGTTAGTTGAAACCCAGTAAACAATATCTTTTCCTTCCCCGTAGTCCTCTTCGATCGGTCTCCTACCAGTTACTAGCTCCAGCAGCACAACACCGAAGCTATATACATCGCATTTTTCGGTGACTTTAGGAGTATATGCCAGCTCTGCACAGAAAACCAGTATAAAAATTTGAATACATGTTCGTAGAAACAATTTTAAACGCAGAAGGACGTACAGGGGATTTTGACAGACATCTAACCAATTGCTAAGAAAGGAAACAACAAGTCATGGATTTCTTACAGATACTAATTAGAATGCAAAACTATATATATGTCTTGTTTCCAAAAGTCTACTGTTAGGCATCCAAATCTCTGAATAATTGTAAAACTATTTGTTACTTGAAATTCTGATAACTAAATTCGTATCTGCTTACTTAATAATTTGATAACTCTGCATTGCTCCTGAAGAAGAATTCATGTTTTAAGCATGAATGGAGGCGTAGACACACGGGTACGTGAATGTAAATTGTCATGTACCAACCAGATGATACCAAGGAAATGTTTTAAGAGGACAACAATAAAACTCCAATATTTGGAATTTAAATTCCTAGATTTTACTCAAAAGGAATGAAATTAAGAGATTAGTATAAGTGTATTGAGCATTAGGGCATTAAACCTATAAACATTATACAACAATGAGCTTGCAAGATTATGAAAATTGTAAGTCCTACTGCTGGCAGCTCCAGGAATGGTGTTCATGATTATCTACAGATCCTTCATTCTAGAACTATGGGGGACCTAATTAATCAAAATGAAAACTCTTTTACAGTGGTGAGTGTACGACAAAGATTATATTGCTACGTTTGAAGCTCGACTTGATACAGGGACAAATCTGAAAGTGAATTGGTTGAAAATCTTTACTCTAAGCACAAGATTGTGAGATAAAAATCTTAAGTGAATTACAGACAGAAAAAAGAAAGCAACATGCAGATCTTTTGAGCAGATCAAAATTCTAGAGCTGTAAAAAATGTCACAAAAAGGAATAGCTTCAAGAATACCAAAGCTAAATGACATAGTCCACGAGATAGTTTCAAATAATAATAGTACTAATATACTAATCACATGATATTAATAAGAAACAGGATATGCTTTATAGGTTTGAAACTCACCGGGAGCAATATACCCATGCGTGCCAGCCAAGGAGCTGTAATCAGAACCCTTCTGAGAGTTCTCTGCAATCTTTGCAACCCCAAAATCAGCAACTTTCGGCTCATAATCATCATCGAGCAGAATATTGGTTGATTTTATATCTCTATGAATTATAGGTGGTGAACAATCATGGTGCAGATAAGAAATCCCCCTAGCTGCTCCCAAAGCAATCTTATACCTCTGGTACCAATCCAATTGTGGCTGCCCACCTTTAATCTGTCTGTGAAGAGCTTCAAACAAATTACCATTTGGCATGTACTCAAACACCAGAAGACTAGATCCTCCCTTCACTAAACAAGCATAAAGCTTCAATATATTTCTGTGCCTGATCTTTCCCAAAATGTCCATCTCTGCAGTCAAAAGCTTCATGCCATCTCCTTTCCACAGTTGCTTTACAGCTACTGTACCGCCACCTTTCTTCAAATCCATGCGATACACTCTCCCTGTACTGCCACTCCCAATCAAATTTTCTTCTTCCAGATCACATATTTCATCTGCATCTATTTCCAATTGGTGAAAAGATGCAAGTTTCCATTTGGGATCTATTTCCTTCCCCCCATCCAAATCATTTTCTCTGTCAGCCTCACCAAGCTTGAAGTTCTTGTAACTGACAAGCAGCAATCCAGCTAAAATAGCAACCAATGCAGATGCTATAATGGAGAACAAAACCAGTTTATTTTCAAGCACCTTTTTCTGACTAGGCTTCTTAGTGCAAATATTCATCCCAGAATTCGTACGGCTTCTGGAATATTGGTCTACGCAGAGTCCCTTGTTTCCATTGAAGGCTTTGTCTCCTCCCATGGTCAGAAGATCAGATGGTACTCTTCCAGATAACTGATTGCCAGACAAATCTATAGAACTTAGCTTCAATTTCACCAAATTTTCTGGAATCGAACCTGTGAGTTTATTTTCCGAGAGATTTAGAGAGTTCAAAGGGCTTATCAGTGAAAATGTACTGGGGATATTACTAGTTAAAGAATTCCAAGCAAGATTCATGTCCACCAACCTAACACAATTTCCCAGTTCTGATGGTATTGGTCCTGTCAAAGAATTTTGTTCAAGATGCAATGATGACAGCTGCTTTAGCGCACCAATTTCAGAAGGTATGTCACCAGAGAAGTTGTTATTACTCAAATAGAGCCTCTCCAAGGTAGACAGCTTCCCAAGTTCCAGTGGAAGATTACCTGAGAATCTATTGTTCTGCAATATCAACTGATTCAAGCTGGTTGAAAACCCAATGCTGGGGGATACCCCTCCGCTAAAGTTGTTATCACTAAAATCGATAATTTTCGCATTCGGAAGTGACCAAACCTCAGTTGGAATCTTCCCAGACAAACGATTCTGATTGACTCTGAATCTCTCTAGAGATTTACAGTGAGCATAAGAATCTGGCAGCTCCCCAGAAAAATTGTTGTCCAAAGCAAGCAAAAATTGTAACTTGCCTTGTTCACAAAGAAACTTTGGGAAACCACCCGAAAACAGATTTTCGGATATGTCAATGCTTGCCAAAGGTGAGAATCTGCCAAAATTTGTGGGAAATTCCCCAGAAAATCTGTTTCCATAAATTGAGACTGCAGAAAGGTGTTCCATATCTCCAAACCCAGCAGGAAATACCCCAGAGAAATTGTTTCCGTATAACTGAAAAACCACTAAATTCTTTAGATTTCCTATCACCGAAGGCAGTTTCCCATAAAATTTGTTTGAAGAGATATCGAATTCCCGCAGAAGGGCGAGATTAGCAAGCTCCGGTGGGATTTCTCCAGTCAAATTGTTATTAAAAAGTTCAATCTTATGTAGATTTTGTAGCTTGGAAATCGACTTAGAGAGCTTCCCTGAGAGCTTGTTTTTCGACATACCCAACGTCTGCAATGCGTTCATTTCATAAAGAGATTCCGGAATCTCTCCTCTCAACTGGGAAGCCACCAGATACAGCCAAGTCAAGTTCTTCAAGTTTCCAAGCCCCTCGGGAATCTCACCTTCATCAAAGTCATTTTCCCCAAGGCCCAGAGAAACCAACCCTGTCAGATTCGCCACCCAAGATGGGAACGCCGCGGAGAAGGAGTTTGCTGAAAGATCAAGAATTTTCAAGTTTGCAAGTGCAGAAAGATCTGGGATTCTTCCCATCATTTTATTGCCGGTGAGATTTAATGCTCTAAGGTTGCCACAACGAGTGAGTTGCGCCGGAAGCCTTCCTGTAATGTTGTTCAAAGGCAGCGAAAGCGTGGTGAGGCTGTCCAGCACACCAATGGAGGGTGAAATCTCACCAGAGAGGTTCTTGTTGTCGAGAGAAATTCCAATGACTCTCCCCGATTCGCAAGTAACTCCGAAGAAGAAACCGCAAGGCGACTCCGCCGTCTCATTCCAGGAATCAAGAAAGCTCAAAGGGTCTTTGAGCCGCCCTTTGAACT